CACATGAACCGTGTCATTGTAACTTCTTTATTGTTAGTCAGGCACTGCTAAAAGGTCAATATGATAAATATATATAAATGTATAATGTTATGAGATTTAAGCTATTTAGTATAAACCCGTACAGAGATTAATTACTGAAAATATAAAGAAACGTTTGATAACTATCTCGACATTATAAAGATTCGCATGGGAAATTTCAAAATTTTCTGATACATAAAATTATTTGTAATCTTTAAATGAATATTACTTTTCATGATATATAGGCATGATAGATAGATGTGAAAAGAAAAAAGTAGACATGAGAACAACATTGTTTTATAAACCTTAAGACTTGAGAAAAAATAGATATTTTTCGTATGTAAGCATTGTAATGTTTAACGATAATCTGCCAAATTTCGTTAAGGTTAGGCACAAATTTAAAAGCTATAGCAAGAATACTATAACAAGCACAAGATGGTTATGAGGTCATTAACTGACCCCATATTGAAAGAGTTAAAACATTCCCATCATTGACTTTGATTGAATCGTATATATATATATAATATATATATGTAAACATTTCATTTAATGAAAATAATTATCTAAAATACTCTTGTAAAGTTTGTGTTGTATTTATTTCAACTATTTAGTTGGTAAAACATGTTAATATATAATAGAAAACAATAAAACACGTATTTAAACTTAGTGTTCGTTCTTCTGTTTCATTTTTTATAAAACATGAGGTTGAGATAGCCTGTGGTATTCTAGATTCAACGGTCTGAGTTGAACACTGGCTTTACCCAGAATGTTTATTGTATATTGTGTAAATGAATGATATAAATATCGTTTCGACCGAGATTTCGTGTAGCAATCCCAGCCGACCTGATAAATTCTGGTATTGAACGATAGTGGCATGTGGCATATAAGTTTGATTATTCTTAAGCAAAAACTAAATAATGGGCTAACTGTGCTGTGCCCACGAAGATCTTTTAGAATTTTCAAAATATTATAATTTTCATTAGATGAAAGACTTTAAAATTTTGGTGGTGTAAGATGTTTATATTAATTTTATCAGTATACTGAAATCTCTAGATGATGTCATTCTGACTGGCCAGTTCTGAAGTATTAGCAGTTGTTTCACGTTATATTAAGGCGAATGGTTTAATAATGTATAAGTTTTAAGTTTATCATTGTTTAGGGATTTAAATGTTTCATATTTGTGGGAAAGGTTTCATTAGACAGGTTTTTGGTATCGAAATTAATTATTATATTTATTGAAAAGAAAAAAATACACATTAATACAAGCCGTCAACAGAAAATATAAAATAAATTATAATACAAACATTTCTTAGAATTTTGAAAATATTATAATTGTCATTAGATTTACGACAGATCTTTCTTTAAATATTTCTGATTACTCTCTGATATTGATAACTATAAAGATATAATGAACGTTATTACACTACTGAATAACGATTAAACTATATATCTCTGTGTGACATTTTTATGGTTCTTTCTTTGAAACAAATCCAACTGGTCGTATTTTCATCTCACTTTTCTTCAGAGAATATTTATGTCCTTTCCAATGATACCAATTAATACCAACAGCGGATTCTTCATGTGGTCCCCCGAGATACAAACCGTTTAAATTAGAATGATGACAAGTATTATACCACCAGCCACCTTTGTAAGTCGTGGCACAGTTCTTCTCCAATTTATCATTATCTCTGTCCCTGGTGGAAAACATCATGTTATTGTGGGTTGAAAGTGAGTCCCCTAAAAACAAGGTAATAAAAATATCATCAAAACATTGACCCACGAAACCTGTTCGTGACGTCAGAATTTAAGGTCATGTAATGTGTGCTTTACTCAGATGTGTTTATAAAATATGCGTTTGTATTCTTGTATTGATTATTAAAGTCTACTTTTGTGTTGACCTTTTTCAAGAAATGTTTCTCCCCAAAATAAAACATTAGCTCTTAAAATCCTTTGATCTGTTTTAAACACTCAAATATTTCTCAAAAATATTGTGCACCCTGTTAAATATAATGTACTTTAGTATCGTTTGTCATATGTAGGTGGCGATAAATAAATGTATATCATGTCAAGTTATATTTATAATTTGTTTGATCTACGGAATGAAAATTCTCACCTACGTCACCCTTGTACGTTTTATAACTCATTTTATACAGTTCCTTTTCACTTCGCACCAAGAACTCATCATATTCTGTATATCTTTGACCACCTTCC